GACGTCTTTGTCCCCTCAGATGGCCTCAAACCTCAGGCTGAGTTTGATACCCTGCTGACCCCAGAGGGAGCCACATGAAGGTTTCGGCTCCCAGTGTGACGCAGCTGTCTGCGCTGCACTGTGGGTACGAGAAATCAATTCTTCTCTCTGCTTTTCTTAGCTACGAGTATCGAAACGGCCTTGGAAAAGATGAGAAACGCGGTGAAGAATGAAGCAGCTTCCATTTATCCATTTTGTCAGGTCACAACTACAACTTTATGTTTACGAGGCTTTTTATGAAATAAATCAAGACTAATCATGACAGGTTTTCACAAATAAAATCCAGCGGCGTGCGTTTGTGTTCCACTGAGTTAATGCTTTGTTAAAATACATTTACAAACCTAGACGCTAAAATGAATAGGGTGCAGTTTGTAAAGCTATACAGACAAAATTAACAACATTTGGGGGTTCTTTTAGCCTGAAATAAAAAAATTATATTTTTCACCATGTTCTAATACATTTATAGTTTTTTACAAACTAAATATTAAGTTTGAGGCAAATATTTCATCTATAAACCAAATATTTAGCCCTGAAGTAAATATTTAATTTGTAATTTACTTTACTGTTTGCTTAAACTGGAAATAAGTATTTACTTAGTAACTAAATGTTTCATTTGTAAAAGAAACATTTTATTTCCCACTCATTTTAATTCTGAGGTAAATATTTAGCTAACAAACTAAGGTACTTATTTAGGAACTAAATGTCTAGTTCACCAACCAAATATTTAGTCTGTAAACTAAATCTTTAGTTTCTAACTAAATTTTAATTAAATATTTACTTTGTAAACTAACTTGTTTAGTTTGTTAACAAGTTAGTTTAGGCTGGAAAATAAGTATTTGCTTTGGAACTAAATATTTACTCAGAGTAAACTTGGTCTACTGCATAAAATACCAAAAAATATATCAGTATTTTGACTAAATTCCACTGCCATGTCTGGCCTCTCGCTGCTTTCCCATTTAGTCCATGTTCTATTCCTGCTGGGTCCTGTTCAGGGACAGAGAGCTGGCTCTGGCAGTCAAAGTACAAAAGGTGAGATAAATCTAAAAGTAAATCAGAGAGGGAAATTCACTGACAATACAGGATTTGGAAATCATTCAGGAAATTGGAGTAGCAGATGAAAACAGACTTTAGCTGGTAGAACATATAAACAAGATCCAGGCAGGGATTTAAACTCAATACCTTCTTGCTGTGAGAAAATCCAGGTTTCTTTCTCATTCTGACTGTGATTCCAGTCGGAATGCCATTTTCAGTAAAAACGGCATTCATTTTTACTGAAAGGAATGCCATTAATTAATCAAACTGTACGTAGTGAGCCATTTGGTTTGTGCTGCTGGAAGCTAAAGGCAGAATAATTACAAATGTCTGCTGTGTATATTGGAAAACGTGTCTGCTTTAACCTCAGGAACAAAAGATTTTCTCGTCCAATATCTTCACAGGAGCAAAGCTGAAATAAAAGATCTCAGAGGAGTTGGTAAATGGATGAAAAAGGGGCCGCTTCCAGAGCTTCGTACCGAGCGCCACATCTACCGTACTCGTCAAAACAGCGATTTATCAAAAAACGTTTGCTGTAATTCTTTTTGCAGCCAAGCGGAAAAGCAAAACCACATAATTAGCACTCACCCAGTGGCAAGAATGTGAGAATGTGACTGAGAGTGCAAAGTGATTCTGTACTTCCTGATCATGAACCCAAATCATAAATGGACTGAAACGTCGCTGAAACTTCGCAAGTAACTTCAGGGGAAACTCAAACTTTCTTTTATAAACGTGAAAAAACTATTTGTTTCTAACTTATTAGCTTCAAATGTGTCTCTATGCGGATAATTATGAGTTGTGGAACTCATTTGGGGAATTTTGGGTAGAATTAGCTACTTACAGCAAAAAAAGCTACCTATTTTCTTAAATGGGTAACATGGCTGCCTTGTAACACAGGGTGTGTCTGTGTACTGTTGGTGCTCATTCATGTTGCTTCCACCCACCACCCTAACACAAGCAGGTCAGTTCAACTGGAGACCTTTAAATTGCCCATGGGAGACAGGATTGTGTTTGCTTGGCAACTTGTTCAAGGTGCAAGCTCTATGCGCCTCTTGACCAGGACAACACAATCCAGTCTTTGGCAAGCCCACACTGATCTACATTTAGAAAACGAGCAAAATGTCTGGTAGCCGATATTGAGGATAGACGAGTCAATCTAATGCATCAACATCTGAGGAGCGCTGCTCCCAGGTCTCTGACGTCTTAATCCTTGTTCTTGGATGTAGCATGTGTCCAAACCAGTCATGTCTGTGCATCTGTTTTTTCTCTTAAGATGATGAATGTGGGTGGAAGACAGACAGGAACTCCGATCCCCCAGAAGGCCCTCTTGTGAAAACATCCGACATTTCAGGATAAGCACAATTCAAGACCTCTGAGAACAACCTGAAACACTCAAGTCTCTGGCTGCATGAAATAAAAACAACAACTACCTTTTGTCTGATGTGCTTTAGTTGGAAATAGAGTGGCTAAAGCAATTGCAGCTGCTATTCCTGATTGACTGGCAGATGCTTGTAAATACCTGCTTGACTGATTTCCTTCTCTCTGTTCAGTTGATGAAAACTGGAAAACAGCCAATTAGTTGAGCATCGATATAAAGGGCTAAAGCAGATGTCAACATCAGATGTCAACCAGAACTCTGAAGGGCCAAGGTAGGGAGGGCTCACTACCATCCCACCTGGTGAAGTCAGACCCGAGAGGTCAAGAGGGAAGGATGGCCATCAGACCCCAGGGTAGCCCCTGCAGTCCACAGCCAGTCCAGCACACCCCAACGAGCTACATACCACCATACAGGACTTCCTAAGCCATTGCCTTTTTAAGCCTATTGATTCTCATCTCCCTTTAGTGCTCCATCTAGGCTTTCGCCCATTGACTTGGATTCCTTTGACAGAATTTCAACTGAGACAGTCAGTAAACAGAGGGAGGAGTTGTGAATGATGACTTATGCGCTGTTTTAGAATTGTAGTGTGCCTGTAGTTTTAGCAATAGCAGCACAGGAAGTGAATGAAGCTATTCAGTCCATGTTGGCCATGCTTCCAAATGTTGAATTAACATTAAAAGTCAACTGGTTCAGCTAAGAACTTCTCTCTTTGCAGTGGAGAATGGTTGTCTACAGTTTCCGGTAAAATTCGCAGCGTCAAACTGGAGCATTACATATGTCATGGGGAAACCTTAGCGACTGGGTCAAGTATAAAACTTCAACAATGGTCACGCTTCCAGGAAGCAATCGTTTCTCAATAGCCGAGAACCCAGACCCTCTGGACAAAGCAAAACTTAGAAAGAAAATAAGTACAAGTAAAATCTAATGTAGTACAATGAAATGATAATCTGGTCTCATAAACACAATAATGTCTTGCCAATAAGCAGTATTTCCTGCTTTCTTTAGAAGTATTCAGAACAGCCAGATGTCTTTTTAGGAAATAAGCTGTTTGGTAAGACAGATCAATGGGTTTTATGATGATTACTTTGGTGTTGATGTGTGTACCAGTTTCTTGAGCACACAGGAATGAAAATAGTAACAAAAAGGAACATTATCTCACAGAAGTCTGTGACACAGTAATAAAAAGGACTGACTGCTAGCTATGCCTGGTGAAAAGCGCGCACTAAAGCCTGGAGTGGATTGACAAAAAGAAAATGTCCTATGACTGTTACAGCAACATACTCAACATACCTCACAGTCAATATTCACTTTTACTTAAGTCTCTATTCATTGAGGTTTAGGCATTTAAAGTCATCTGGTTTGTTAGGAAAATATCACACCTACTTATAAAAGTAAGTAAGCACGCAGAAGTAATGGTAGACCAGTCAGGAACATTGTATGTTGACTCAATTTGAAGACACCTAATATTTCTAGAACCAGATGTCACAATTGGTGGAATGAACAGTAATAGTGTTGTCAGAGAGTCAAAACATCCAAGTCACCAAATGTCTTGGTCAGCATTATTGGAACTTGAATACATGTGATAGAGATTGTTATTTTAGGTGAACTGGTAGTTGGACTGGGATGATAGATTGACTACAGTATTATCTGTATGCCTCACGTGTCGATCACAGCCTCATGTGATCCGTATCAAACATGGGAAACATGCAGGTAATCCTGGCTAATGCTACAGCCAGAGACCTCAAATTTTCAGACGCTCTAATCAGCCCCTGATAATAGATTGTTATATCATGGCACCATGTAAGCCTTCTGCTGCTCAGTCTAGACATGCCAGTGTCTTCTATACCGAAGATTTTTCTGGTCTTCTGGGTGCCTGCACTATTTCTTTCAATCAGAAATCTTCTCATCAAGTCTGGCTTAATATAAAGCTCAGAAAAAGTTGTACTAAACTATAGCGACTCTCTGACTGAATGCTTAACAAATTGATTGATTGATTGATTGATTGATTGATTGATTGATTGATTGATTGATTGATTGATTGATTGATTGATTGATTGAGCTGCTGGTAAATGAACAGCTGTTGCCAGTGTTTGTTCAATAAAAACTGAACAATAAATGATGCAACTAAGATGCAGTGAGATATTTGCACAAGAAACAACACACAAAAAAATTCTTGGTCCGATTTGGTGTTTTTGCAGTACAGCCCCCACCCACACACACCTAATTTCACACACACACACACACACACACACACACACACACAAACATAACTAATTTCTAGTGTTTATATATATATATATATATATATATATATATATATATATATATATATATATTTATATATACTGCTCAAAAAAATAAAGGGAACATTTCACTTTAATTTTGTGTGTGGTTCCAAATCCAGGCCTCCATTGGTTAATAAATTTGATTTCCATTGATGATTTTTGTGTGATTTTGTTGTCAGCACATTCAACTTTGTACAGAACAAAGTATTCAATGAGAATATTTCATTCATTCAGATCTAGGATGTGTTATTTGAGTGTTCCCTTTACTTTTTTGAGCAGTGTATAAATATATATTTCATTTGCAAATACCACTGTGTTGTTAGGTAGGCAGCTAAACTCTTCTCCCAGCTTGCTATTTTTGAAAAGCAGTCAGGTACTGGCAATGGCTTCATATTGCCAGACATATATATCTCTACATAGATTTTTAAAAAAAAAGCCATACGTTTCCTGTCACCACGAATTTACCATTTTGATGCTGACGCAGTTTTGAAAATCCTTTTGATAAATATTCATGAAGAGCAAATAGATGAAAACCAAGCTCTGCACAGAACATCGGTCGAAACACACGCATTAAACAAAAAAATACAAATATGATCTGCAAAGTTGGGCTGACACAAATCCACATCACTTTGTTTTGCAAATGCGTCGAGTTTTCTTTTCCCCCCTTTTTTCTATGATGGCAGTATTAAATGGGACAGAAAATAAATGTGCCAGAGAGGTAACACCTTCCAAGTCATGAATAAAAGCAATTTACTCTCCAATCAGATAGCAAAAGGGGGAAAATTGCAAGAGCTGACTGCATCTATGCATAAAAGAAATGCTTTTTTTTTTCTCTCAACGCATAAAAAAAGCCCAAAGTGGGAGTGCAGGAAATGTTTTGAAAAATGAAGAGTTGACTCTGAGGTTGACTTATGCTGCCAGCTGTCCGTGTTGCCGCTGGGAAAGCAGCAGTTTGCACATACCTGGAACCTCTTCAAGACCATAACTGGTGCTGTTGGGCTTGAAGCGATCAGGTTGAACCTTCATCTTTGGACACAGGACATCTGGGAAGAAAAGACAAGTGTCAATGTTGCCTTACATACAGAATTTATCGTCCTGAACTTGAACTGTCTGCTTCTTCTGTTAAAACGACCACATACTCCAAGGTGTTTTAGTGTGAATTTATGTGATCAATAGAAGTGGGCAGATCGCCCCAAAATATCAATAATATCAAAAATCGGTATCAACTCTGAAGTGATATTACAGAGTTGATAGACTCAATCTTCGACTAGAAAGATAAATACTAGATTCTATCTTCTAGTGGAAGTACCAATAGTATAAATATCAATCTTATCCTAGATTGACAGATCTATCAACCTAGGATAAGATCGATATAAGTATTGATCTTACACATTACTTTAGTTTTAGATTCCCTCTTGAAATTTTGTTTTATTTTTTGTATTATAGTTCATCAATAGTACCTCCAAAAAGATGTTGTCTTGCTTTGCTCTCAAATGATAATTTCTTTGCAGTTTGCTTAAGAAAAATACACACAAATCATGTTAACATGTTATTAAATACCTATAAACTTTGTTCAAATTCTGACATTGGTTTCAACAAACAACTTCAAAGACAAACCACCTAAACACACCTAAGGTCAGAAGTTTTATGATATATCAAACTTAAATAAAAGTATCGGTATCAGTATTGGTGATACAGGCCCTGTGCTTATGTGGTATTGAATCGATAAAGTATGAAGTACCGCACAACTATACTAACACAGAGGAGGGTTGGGAGTATGAAATTGAGCAAAAACTATCATGTATTTTTAGGAATGAAAATATAAAAATCTTCAGCTAATTTGTATCCAAGCATCTTCCTTTTGATTCTCCTACATGAAATCCAGCTCAACTGACTGAATCCATTAGTAACCCATAGTCAGTAAGCAACACCTCAGCAGTCCGTTAGAGGTTGTTAGTGAACAAAGAGCATCATGAAGACAAAGGAACACAGCAGACAGGTTAGACCAAAGTGAGTTAATTATGCCTGAAATTTGCATACGACTGCTGACTCAGCACTGGCCCAAAACTGCTGGTTTATTTTTAGCCTGAGTGGACCGTATTGATTGGAGAATTTGAAAAGTCCCATATGAATGACTGCATATGGGTTGAAAACAAAAACACTTTTCAGACTTTTAGTAATTGAAAAAAAATATACAAGACTTTCCCTCTAATGTAAAACTATGCTCAACGGATTAGATGGGGTCTTTCACATGAAATCCCAATAAAATAAACTGTAATGGGACAAAGGGGTGCAAACACTTTTGCAGGTGATGTAAGAGTAGGTGTTCACACACTAATGGTTAACATATGTCTTTATATTTAAGATTTAATTTTAGTTTTTTTGTTTGTTTGTTTCTTTTGAAGAAAGCCACCTAAAAAAATCCCAAATGCTGAAAAACAGTAGTAGATGTCCATACCGTGGCCTGGAGCCATTTGTGCCCCTTGGAATGTTTCTGTGTGGCCCTTGTTCACACTTCAGAAAATAGCACAGATTTATTTCACCAGGCTGTCAATCGAGACACGATCAACAGCCTTTGATTTGTTTGATTAAAACAAAGTGAAATTTTCTGTGATAAAAAAGAGGCAAATAAATTCAAATAATACTAAAAAGTAAACTTAATCAGCAACACAAACAATTCATCTTTTAATACTAAAATTTTTTCAGCTTTTATTTTAATTTGATAGCATGTAGCACCACTGACATCCAGTAACTTTTACTTGATAGTAGAATCAGGCACACCTATATAGTAAACAAATAAGAACTTTAAAAAATAGTGACTTATCCCATATTCTTGTAGCCTAGCATACATCTAAAATGATTTAGAGATACTTTCTGCATAGAAATCAGACGGGTATATTTAATTCAATAAAAAAAAATTTCACCAATTTCATTATAATTCATGTAATTTATTGCATGGTTCTATAATGACAATAAAAATTATTATTATTATTATTAATAATAATTCATATTTTGTGCATTTAGTTTATTCTTACAACAGAATTGTTTTTGCAGTTTTTATAACAAAAGAAGCATAATTTTTCAAAAAGTTTGGACACCCCAGCTGTTGTAACTGCTGTCAGACTGTTTAGCTTGGAATGATGTAAGCGCTAGGACTGGTGTGTGAGCTGAACAGAGCTGGTGCAGACACACTGCCCTCTCTCGCTCAGTTTCCTGTTTGACGTCCAGACACAGACCTGGTTGAAGAAAAGGGCAGCTGTGTCGGTGAGGGATGTGGGGGTGAAGTGGGGTGTGGTGGGTTCCACTTCCACACTGGAAACAGCCAGTTTCATATTTCCACACACTTATATTTCAGCAGCGGCGGTGACAGGGAAAGGAAACATCTTTGGGTTAAGTTGTTTTAGGCAGGAGAGGTCCTTTTACTGGAGTAGAGTCACTGGCCTCAGTACAGCAGCATTCACCAAGAGACAATGTTTGAGTTTATTACACAGAAATGTTCATTTGAAGATGACATCTAGGATAGAACATGCAATAAGAAGATGGAGATTTCATTTTTTTCCAAAGTGCCATCAAAAAAAAAAAATGCAAATAAAAATACAACATACAGCACTCCACACCAAAGTAATGCAGGAAGTATGACACATTGCTTGTTTATCAACTAGGCTTTGAAGATATTTATGGTATTCTAGTAAACTGTCTTATCAGCAGAGTATGGAAAGACAAAAAAGCCAATATTTCTGTGTAACCATTAAAAATCCTATATGACTCTATGCTAAATATACCACCAGACACCAGACACTTAGAAACCGTTACTGGGTGCTGAGAGTTAGCAATGTAAGTAGTAGTGAGTACTTAACATTTTAATTATTTATAATTTCTATATTTTCAGAAGATATTCAGTTCTTCTATAAAAAGGCAACTTTCTAAGCTGTAGCTATATAAGCATAGATGAAGGACGCACCATTTATGTTTAAATTTTAATAAATGAGTAGGCTTGCTGCAATAAGCAATTAATCTTATGATAAATTAAAATGAGCTCAATTTCCATTCTGATGACTAACATTTCTTGAAGGGCAATTTTGTTTACAGAGTCTTCATAATCCATTTTATTTATGGTTGCAGATTTTATTTTATTTCCTTTGTATTGATTTTGGTTGTTGTCTTTTATTTTGGATGTTTAAATATCTTCCAGTTTCAGTGTGGCAAGTTCTGCACAAAATTAAAGTTTATTAGTCTTTCATAATAACTTGCAATATTATGCCTTTATCATTACATTGTTTAACAATGCTACCAAAACGACAGTTGCATTAATTTCTGGGACAATTAATCAGCCAGCAAAATTTGTTATTCTGTTATACTAGTTACAAAGAGTGTGCATAAGGAGTGGTCCAACTCGTTTATGTTTTTATTTATTATTATTTACCATCTTATTCCCAGTGAATGCATTCATTTTTATGAGGATCATCTGCAGAGATCATATCTGGTGGGCCATCTGAACCAAAACGGCCTGGGCCAGATTTCTGTCCCGGTCCATACTCATCTCAATCTAACGTGGTTCCAACATCTAAATGAAATTCTTCTTTCCACTATTAATAGCTGAACAACTCATGTTTGCTCCCTTGACCACAAGTCATAAATATGCTCTGCGGCTGAGCTGAAACACTCCAGCTTTCCTGCTGTTACAAGCATCTGCAAAATATGTGCCATGAAAACCTGCAATTTTCTAAAATCACGGCTCTAAAAAATCTCTGCGTCATAAAAAGCTCTGGAGGTTGATTCTGAGGACAAGTTGGCTTGTTGTTTTTTTGCGGCGTACAAAAGCTAAGAGGGTACCCGACATGAAAACCTGAGCAGCTAGTTTATCTGTTTGGCATCTGAATTTCTATAAGTTACTTTACAACATTTGGTGTTGTAAAGTAACACCAAATGGAGATGCCGCTGTATTCAGGTCAAAATGTCACGTCTACGTGAAGTTTTCTAAGTGATAATGGAAGACCTACCAAAGAATATATGTTTATAATGCCAGCGCCAGCAGGTAGACCAAGAATGGCCATGCTCTGGATATAGTGACGTGCGTCACACTTCCTTAAAGATGATGTTGCTTGCACAGCTCTGAATCTTAAAATGCTAAATAACAGAGCAACTCCCTGCAGCTGTGGTTCTGAAGGTATAATTTGGGGACGCGAGTGCGAGTTATATTTGAAGCAATGTAAAACCTGCCTTTGCCTTACCATTACCGTCCTACAGCCAATATTTTCCTTTCTCTTTTTGCTGCCGCAGGTTTTCGATAAGCTTCTAATTATTTGTGTCCTTTGATCGTTTTGTCTAAAAACTGTCATAATGTGAGTTTTTGTCACTGAAAGTCACACTTCCAAACTTACCAGCTTAAGACCTCAAATGCTCTAAAGAGTCACTGGAGGATAAACAGTGTCTGTTTTTTAAAGGTGAATTCGTTTCACTTCTATCCGAGTATTGGGCGCCGGGCCAACGTGAAACATTAGAGCTGTAATTTTCTGGGTGAAAATAACTGGCACTGCCCAGTGAGCCACTCGCACTGACCACGGATGTACATGGAGGTCCACTTGCAGCAATTTCTTAAAATGGACAAAAAAAAATTGTAAGCTTTTTGTTTTTTTTTTGTTTTTCACTAAATGCAGCCTTTGGTTATTTCAAGACGTTCTACATCGCATTCTTGAAAATATACAATTTCTCATTGAAAAGAGAAAACGTACTGACTCAATGCAAAGTCGGAGTGAATTGGCTTTCAATTAAAGATTCAAGATTGAAACCTTTAAAACCTGTAGGAGTGTAAAAACCAGTAAATATGTTTTAAGAAGTAATTCTTTGCAGCAAAGTTTTTTTTACATCTACCTAGTCAAAATGAACGATGTATTGTCCTTCTTGTTTGTGGTCTTGGAGTTGTTCATTTCTTCCCATTTAGTCTTAATTTAGCAATAAGCTAACAGAAAGCAGTAAAAAACAAAAATTCCACAAAAATAGGTTTGTACCAATTAAAGCAACACTAATAAACCATCTCTGAAACCACTGGAACTATTGAATAATAATATTCAAAGAGAAGTTAGTTATTTACAACAAATAAGGAAAAGATTAGGATTCTTGATGTGAGGTTCTGGTAGAAGGTTATACGTAATTATTTTTAGCACCAGTAAATAACTCTTGGGGGATTCATGTAGTTTATAGCCAGAGTAGCTGGTGCTGTAGGCTAGCTAACAGCTAGCTTGAGAAAAATCAGCAATGCCGTTTCTGCCAGTACAAAACAACTCAATCTACACAACATCACAGTGGTAGCAAAGTTACTTGTATTTACATAGGAAAAAAAAATCATAAATTACACAGGAAATGTAAGTAGAAGCAAGTGTGTCAAAAATGGATTTCATATGTCAAAAATACAAAACAGAACTTGAAAAGAGTTTCAATGAGTTTACAAGTTCAAAGAACACATTTTACAGGAAGATCACTGGTGCCACACTGCCTACAACCCTTTTTTCTCCACACAGATAAAAATCTACATCTTCAAAAATAAAGCAGATTGATGAAGACATCACTTGCTAAGGTGTGTTCAGAGAAAGCAAAGTACAAAATTAATGCACTCCTTTTGTTTCAATAACATTTCTTGGCTCATTTTTCACTTAAGATAGGTCAGTGGCAAATATTTTATATATAACATTTTATATATATATATATATATATATATAGAGAGAGACAGAGAGAGAGAGAAAGAGAGAGAGAGAGAGAGAGAGATCAGTGACGTGCGGTGAGGTTCATAGCTGGTGAGGCACCAATTTAATTATAATCGGATTTGCAAATCTGGACCCCTGCATGTTATTGTTTACATAAGGAAATTACGCGCATGCGTACAATGCTGGAGGGCAAAAAGACTATTCTTTAACGTGATGCTTAGCCACGCCGCCGCCGCAGAATATTTCCGTTATCTCAATCAAACTTAGACATGTAGATATTATTAATTTCGTGCTGTGCTTAACAGCAAAGGGAGAAACCGCTAAAGTACAACTCAAAACCACGTCTTTCTTGCTCTCTGTATCAGCGTTACTGTATGGCTAGCTCGCTGTTACTGTCTCTTACTCTGCAGTTGTGGAGTCACAATGTCTGGGTTCATGAGCGCCCCCTGCGATGAGGCACGAGAACTGCCTGCCTCACCTCTAATCTGTTCTCTGCCGTTTATGATCGCTCCTCAGTACACGAAACACAGTACATACATAAGCTAAATTATGGAAAATCAGTTCATGCATTAAATGTTTTTAACCATTTTATTGGCGATGTACAGACAGGAGGAGCATGCTCTCATAGAATGGCAACCGGTGCAGTTAGCGAGAGGTTGCGCAATCCCAGGTGAGGCTCAGCTTACTGCTGCCTCGCCGGCTTCGGTTTTTAGAATTAGAATGGGAAAATGCGAAAATTCTGCGATTTTGAAGAAAAAAATCATCAAATTTAGTTAGATTAAATGAAAAATAGGTACTTTATAGTACAAACCACAGGGGGAAAATATCTTTATAAATGATTTTATTATTATTTTTCCATGATGACAGGTGAGGCCAAAAATGTGAGTTTAGTAGTCTGGGACTATACTGTTAGCGTGACCCGACCAGGTACTCTGACTTTCCTATCCAGTCTGAGTGGGTTTTAATAAGCTGCTGAAATACAAAAATAGTAGCTACACGTTGCCTCTCAGCAACCAACAATAAAAAAAATTAGGCCATGCCTTTAAGTCGTGAAACAAAAAAAAAATCTGGAAAAGGAACTTAAAGAGAGAAATTCCTTGCTCCATTATACAGATGAGACAACTATTAAGCTGTTAGAGAGTGCATTTTTAACCCCAAATTAGGTGATTTATGAGAGTATGTGAACTACTTTCTAAGCCTGTGTGCATGTGTTGAAAGAATTTTCTCAGCACAATAGTGGAAAAACCGCTGAGGTTTTAAGAGGAGAAGCTTTCCAGTGCTGAACGCCTCTGCTCTGAGGCAGCAGTCAAGAAGGCAGCGACACCACAGATATGTCTTGTTAGGAAACTATTATTTAAACTCTTTTTTAAAGAGTCTTCCCTCACAGGCTTCGTGTTAGACCAAAAGTTGATAACCTGAGCAACTCTCTGTAGTTGGGGTGGGGTTTTGTGGTTAGGGTCGCTCCTGCGCAGTGGTTAAAGGTTAAAATAAGGGGACCAGTTGAATAAATGCAACGTTTAGCTTGAGGTTGACTCTCCATTGTGGGTTTTTTTTTTTTTTTTTTTTTTTTTTTTTAGAAAGAGGCCATGCAGCAGACACTGTTAGTAATGTGTTTAAAATAGTCTGATGGGTGACTTACTTTCGCACAGCCTCCTCCTCAACCTGCCTCGGATTTTATCAATGGCGTTGAAGTCGGTCACGTGAAAGACGTGGGCATTCTTGGGCTCTGCCGCGATTTCCTCCAACTCTTCCTTCAGATCCTCCCCGATGCCCACGGCGAACATCCGGATGCCAGCTTTGGCGGCTGCCTTGGAAGGTTCCAGAACGTAATCGTGACTTCGGCCGTCCGTAAGCAAGATGGCCACCTTCTGAATGCCGTGCTCAGCCGGCCTCGCGCCGTTCCGCTCCGTGAAGATGTTCGTGGTGGTATAGCTGATAGCGTCCCCGGTCATGGTGTTTCCCCCTAGGTAGCGTATATTACGGGCAGCTCGCTTCACGTCTTCCAGGGTCCTATATCGCCCCAGGTTAAACTCCTGAGTCGGCATGTCACTGTAGCGAACCACTGCCACTCTAGTTTTGTCGGGCGCTACGTCGAAAGACTCTACCAAGTTCGCTACCCATTGCCTAATTTTCTCAAAATTTTCCTTTCCCACACTGGATGAGGTATCCAGAATAAACGCCAAGTCGTAGTGGACATTCTTACAACCTGCAACAGACAAAAACATGGGGATTCAGTTACGTGTAGTTGGGACAGATTAAACTTCCTATGTGGGTATGAATATTTCATGCTGATGGTTTTACCTGCCCTTTGTGCATCCACTCCTTCCCCTGAAAGAGTCAAGGACAGGACGAAGCAGACCAGGGTGATCCTAAATCCCAGTCGGAATTCCATGTGGGCCTTGTCTTGGGTCTGTTTTGTTCAGCTTATTACCACCATCAAGCTCTGGAAAGATCAGTGGAGACATCAGGCAATACAGCATATCTTCAAAGTATTGACAGAGCTTCACTTTTCCCACTTTTTGTTACGTTACAGCTCTATTCTAAATTATATTAATCTCTTTTCTTAAGAACCGTGTATTTTTTTTGTGACAATGTATTTTTTGGGGGGTTTTTTGTTTTTGTTTTGCAGTGTTATGTCTCATCATTCCACAGGACTTTTTCCGAAAAGTCTTGGGGATCATCAAGATGTCTCGGTAAATGTCACTTTGCTAAATTTGAAGATACAGCCTTGGAACTCTTTTAAGGATGCAATTTTCCTTGTCTTGTTGAACACTGACTTCGATTGAGGCAAATTATGCCTGTAGTGCTTTTGATGTTTCTCTGTGATCTTTTATAATCTCCTGGGTGCTTTATTTAAAATTACTCTTGAAGTAAATTTGGTACACTGTGCATTGATGGGAAGGGTCATTACTGTTCCATGTTTGGATGATGATGTTACAGTGGTTTCCTTGAATCGTAAAGCTTTAGATATGACTTGGTAACCCTTTCTATAATTCTTGGTGACTGTTTTTCATCTGTTGTTGAATGTCTTTAGATCAGGGGTGTAATATGTTGTTACTTTTTGACATTTTTTTAGCCTACTTCATCTTGGCAAATGGGTTTGATTTGAGTGATAGGACTCAAGTTTCTAAAATATATGGGTAATCACAGTTGAGTGCGTGAATCTAACTTTGAAGCTTGACCTTTTGGAGAAATCTGTCAAAGGACAAATGCTTGTTCAAAGCATAGTACTTCCTATGGAGTTGGAAGATTGTTGTGAATTAAAAACTTTCTGTAGCCATTGCATTCACATCCCAACTATAACACAAGCTTTGCGGAAAACCAATTTAAAATTGTATTAACACTCTGTGCATTTAAAGACACTTATACTCCTGGCTTCATCTCATGGCAAACCTTTCCTCCAGCCCTGTATATCTCTGGTATGAAGCTTGGCAGGAAATGTTCTTCATTCTCCGAACATGATAATTGAAAGCTAAGACTGAAATAAACATCTCTTTGGAGGAGCAAGTGAACTCTCCATCCAGAGAAAATTGGACTGACTGAGGATGGTTGAAACCTGATGCCAAACTATGTCTTTCTATCCACCCACAAGACTAAAAAAGAAGAATGCAGAGTTAGTGAGCTTTGCTGATGTAGATTGATCAGATTATTTTTAACACCCAGACAAAGACATCTATTGGACTATGAGAGTCAGTCTGGTCCCTTTTTGGTCATCAACTAGAAGTTTTTTTTGTTTTTTATTGGGCTGGTTGTTATGTCTTAATGACACTGACAGAATCCCAACATCTAAACACTTCTCAATTCTCAACTGTAGTCCATAATTTGTAGCGCTTGCTGTTGCTGGAGGTCTAACATGTGACTGACTCTAGCCTAAACATGGCCTCATCTTGACAGGAAGACTGTCTCGTTGTGGGGGGTTGTCCGGGGGATGCTTTGGAAAGTTTGAGTTATTGGTCAAGTCGGAAAAAAGTAGTCTCCGATGAACTGAAAAGCTTTTTACCATCTTCCACCTTGTTTCCGTACAGTAAGATATTTCCACTGAACACATTGTTGGTTCATTTACTTTCCAGAGGAAACATGCAGCCAAAACTATCTGCTTGCCACTGGAAAGAAAAAATGAAGAAAATATTTATTCTGTTGTTCCTTAGTACGACGCTGGTGGACTTAAAGATGCTACTGAATGAAGCCACCTTAACATTAAGGGTTGGAGGACACTTTTCATGTCATAATGAGAAACTTTCTCGTCTTGACAAGCTTTATATCTCACTAACACGAGAGCTTCTCGTCGTAACGAGATATAACTCATTAAAAAAAAAAGTTTTCCAGAGTGATATTTCATTAAATCAACCAACATTAAACAAGAAAGGTCATAATAGTAAAACAGAAACATCTTGAGGGCGCTGTCTTCAAAATAAAAAATAAAAAAAACAAGTGAGAAGATAGTCAGAGGGGCACCCTCTATTACTTATTAAGAAGTCAAATTCTGAAAACGTATTTCCCCACTGAATCATTATGACGAGGAACTCTTGCTTTAATAAGACACTCCTCCTGTATTTATTTCCTAGCTCTGGCTAGGAAATAGAGAATCTGATGGTGTGAGGCTATAGTGGTAACCAGTACTCCACCATTTAAAGGAGGATGCCATAGAAGGGATTCCACAAGATCCACCTCTAGTGTACTTTAGACTCCTTAGGTTTGATAGACTCATGTTTTTGTCCCTTCACGTTTTATTGAACAAGTGTTCTTTCAGCTAAATGCTAATGTTACTTTTTCAATGTTTGTATTAATTTCACACCTACAGATGATTAATGATTGTTTCTTATCCTGCTAGCAACATTTTAACCTCTATCAACCACATATTTTGAGATTTATGGTGAACTTGATATTTGGTGTTTTTAATTTCCAAAACTTCTCAAAGAACTAAACTGTCTTTTAACAGTGGTGTGTATTTGTATATGTCCCCATGCATAAATGCTGATAGAAGCTGAAACTAGTTGCAATTTTAGCTGCAGGCCTTTTGATTTAGCCTCTCACAGCTTATATTAGAGGGAGAAAATCTCTGAACATTTTCAAGTCTTTCTTCTTTATCAAATTTAGGTGTGGACTTTGGGCCATTTTAACATGTAAATATGATTTAATGTAAAACATTACATTGTAGCTCTGGCTGGACGTTGAGAATTGTCCTGTTTGAAGGCGAACATCCACTCCAATTTCAAGTCTCTGAGATTTCTTCCATATATTTAGCTCCATTAATTTTTGTCATAAACATCTCCCATGCAGTGTTAACTTTGACAGAGCACAACATTTTCAGCATATTAT